ACCAAGGCAGTACCCCTGTTGCAGGTGTACAGCAGCATGGAGCAGCTGTCGCAGCACGAGCCCAAGACCCCGGTCGCCCCAGCAGGGGGCAGTAAGCGGGAGCCCAGCACCAAGGGCCCGGAGGAGAAGGCAGCCTGCAAGCGGGAGGGTCTGGGAGGCCTGACCCTTCGAGAGAAGACCTGGAGAGGGGGCTCCCCGGAGATGTGAGCAGGGCGTGGCCGGGGATGGGGAAGCTTGAGTGGAGATGGGGGGAAATGCCCCGCCAGCCTCGCCCCTAGGGTTGTGAAGAGGGCAGGGCATTCTGGGGCGTGCCCCTTATGGCCACGCCCCTAGGTGTGCTAAGGGTGGGAGGGGCACACTAGCCACGCCCCATCTGAGTTAGTGGGGCGTGGCAGGCCCAGAGCTTGTCTTCCATAGCCACTCCTGTCGGGGAAGGCAATGGGCTGGGGCCGAGGGAGCATCTCCGCTAACCACGCCCCTCAGGCATGTGAGCAAGATAGGGTGCACGGTGGGGGCCTGCCTCCTCTAGTCACCCCCTACGAAGTGGGAATGTGGGGGGTTGTCCTTTGGAGGGCATCTCAGCTAACCATGCTCCCCGAGGGGTAGGGTGGGCAACCCCGTGCGTGTGTCTCCACTGACCCGTTTTCCCCTCCTCAGCAAGAGGTTCTCCGCCTCCGAGGCCAGTTTCCTGGAGGGCGAGGCCAGTCCCCCACTGGGTGCGCGTCGTCGGTTCTCTGCGCTGCTGGAACCCAGCCGCTTCAACACTCCGCAGGAGGATGAAGATGAGGTCCGGCTGCGCAGGCCGGCCCGGCCCGGCCCTGAGCTCCCAGGCTCACTGGAGGCACGGGCGCCCAAAGAGGGGGCTCCGGGGGAAGGCACCCTCAGCATCGGGGACTCGGAGGCCAGTGAGTCCCGTGTCCTGCGCCCTTTCCAGTTCCCCGGTAGTGATACATTCAGCGCATGGTGAGGCTAGTGCTGTGACAGATCTCATATGCCTTTCACATGCCAGCCTGAGGTAACTCATTGACACAGGTGGCACACCCACATGTCGCCCCGAGAGAGGCGAACACCGAGACCTTTCATCGCAGCTCCATCACAGCTCACACCCCGTGGCGGAGGGACAGCATGCTCCAAGTCCCCGGCAGGCTGTGGACCCCTGACCCGCCTACTCTCTTGCAGCTGACCGCCCGCGCCCAGGTGACCTCTGCCCACCGTCAAAGGAAGGGGACCCATCAGGCCTTAGGGCTACCAATGACCTGGTTCTGCGCAGGGCGCGGCACCAGCAGCTGTCAGGGGATCCAGCAGCAGAGAAGCGGCCTTCTAGAACTGGGGGCAAGGTCATCAAGTCGGCTTCAGCCACTGCCCTGTCTGTCATGATTCCCGCAGGTATCGCTGGCCCTGCCCATCAGGGGAAGAAATGCCCGCTTTTGGGCCAGGTCAGACCAAAGAAAATACCACGTTTTCCTAGTCCACAGTGAATGATGCCAGGAGGGCCCAATGAAAATCGGGAGGCGGGAGGATAGGATACTGGGCACCGTGTCTGGGGGCCCTGACATCTCACCGTGGTTCTGTGTCTGCAGTGGACCCACACGGAAGCTCACCCCTTGCCAGTCCTATGTCCCCACGCTCTCTCTCCTCCAACCCCTCCTCGAGGGACTCCTCGCCCAGCAGGGACTACTCCCCAGCCGTCAGTGGCCTGCGCTCCCCTATTACCATTCAAAGGTCAGGCAAGAAGTACGGTTTCACCCTGAGGGCCATCCGAGTCTACATGGGCGACTCCGACGTCTACAGCGTGCACCACATTGTCTGGGTGAGCGCTCCTGCAGGGTTTGTATTGGAGGCTGGGGAGGAGACAGGTACCTCAGGACGAGGAGGCGAGGCGTAGTTCAGATTCTGAAGCTGCACTGCCAGGTGAAATTCTTTTGCGACTCCCTCTTTCACCTCCCTCTCCAGCCCTGTTTCTCCCTCTGTCAAATGGGGAGAGAAATGACTCTTTCGCAGTGTCGTGAAGACTGTAGTGCAGGTGAAGCCAGCCATGTGGCTCATGAGCTCATTCCCAATCCTGCGGCTCTTGTCCCCAGCACGTGGAGGAAGGGGGTCCTGCCCAAGAAGCAGGGCTCTGTTCAGGAGACCTCATCACCCACGTGAACGGGGAACCTGTGCACGGCATGGTGCACCCCGAGGTTGTGGAGCTGATCCTCAAGGTGAGAGCACAGAGGTGGTCTCGGGAGGATGGGGGCCGGCCTCAGGCAGGCCCCTGCGAAGCTCTCCTTCCCTTCTCCCCAGAGTGGCAACAAGGTGGCTGTGACCACCACGCCTTTTGAAAACACTTCCATCCGCATTGGCCCTGCGCGGCGCAGCAGCTACAAGGCCAAAATGGCAAGGCGGAACAAAAGGCCCTCGGCCAAGGAAGGCCAGGAGAGGTGGGCGGGCCCCAGAAGCTCAAGGGTTGGGGGACAGAGACAGGCAGCACCAGTGGGACCCCGAGGTTAAGAGGAGCTGGCAAAATGCAGAAAGTCGGCACAGGAAGCCGTGCCCACCTTCAGAGCCACACAGAAAACACTGGGCGGATATGGCGGAGGGCGTCCTATCATAGGCCTTCTCTGTCCCTTGTGTGGACACCTGGGCACAGCTGGCCTACGCCTACGGGACGACTGTTCCAGGCAAGGTCACGCAAGAGGCGGAGGTAGCCACGCTTGGCCCACAGCCAGGGCAGGCGGGCCTGCTGTGCTCCGCAGTAAGCTTTCTGCCACGCGGGACTGTGTGGCTTGCTTGCGTGGCTACTGCAATCTCCCTGGCGCCAACACGTGCTGCATGCCTGTGATTTCTTTTCTATGAGTTGGAGATGGTAGGAGAGGGGGGTGGGGTCCTAAGGTCTTTGGTTTTACACATCATTGGTGCTGGGGATGAAACCTGCTGGGAGGAGCAAATGGGACCAGGCCAGGGAGGCCTTTCTGCCTTGGTTCTCAGATTGCAGCTAAGCTGGACATGGTGGACACCCTCATCCCAGCCCTGGGGAGGCAGGGGATCACTGTGAGTTCAGAGCAGGATCCTGTCTCGAAAAGAAAAAGTCTGAGTCGTAGCTAAAAGGCAGGGGTGGGCGGTGCAGAGGCCAGGGAACCGGGCTCCAGTGTGGTCGGGCGAAGGTGGCATCTCGTCCACAGCAAGAAGCGCAGCTCCCTCTTCCGAAAGATCACGAAGCAGTCGAACCTGCTGCACACAAGCCGCTCGCTGTCCTCCCTGAACCGCTCGCTGTCCTCCAGTGACAGTCTTCCGGGCTCCCCCACGCACGGGCTGCCGGCGCGCTCGCCCACGCATAGCTACCGCTCCACGCCGGACTCTGCCTACCTAGGTAGCTCCGCGAGGGGCTCGGGTGTGGATGTGGGGTCTCCCTAGGCCTGGGCCTGAGTCGTGCACCCCGCTCCGGCCCGCAGGTGCCTCATCGCAGAGCAGCTCACCCGCCTCGAGCACGCCCAACTCACCGGCCTCGTCCGCGTCGCACCACATCCGGCCCAGCACGCTGCATGGGCTGTCGCCCAAGCTGCACCGCCAGTACCGCTCGGCGCGCTGCAAGTCGGCCGGCAACATCCCGCTGTCGCCGCTGGCACACACGCCGTCCCCAACACAGGCGTCGCCGCCCCCGCTGCCGGGCCACACAGTGGGCAGCTCGCATACCACGCAGAGCTTCCCCGCCAAGCTGCATTCGTCGCCGCCTGTCGTGCGCCCGCGCCCCAAGAGCGCAGAGCCGCCGCGCTCACCACTGCTTAAGCGCGTGCAGTCGGCCGAGAAGCTGGGCGCCTCACTGGGCGCCGACAAGAAGGGTGCACTGCGCAAGCACAGCCTGGAGGTGGGGCACCCCGACTTCCGCAAGGAGTTCCACGGCGAGCTGGCGCTGCACAGCCTGGCCGAGTCAGATGGTGAGACCCCGCCCACCGAGGGCCCAGGCGCTGCAACGCGCCAGGTCGCCATACGGCGCCTGGGCCGCCAGGAGTCGCCCCTGAGTCTGGGCGCAGAGCCGCCGCCGCTGGAGGGCGCCTCGAGGCAGGGCGCTGCCAGCAAGGACCGGGAGTCCCCTGGAGGCGGGGCCGAGGCCTGTACCCCGCCCCGCCCCGCCGTCCTTGGTGGGAGAACCCTAGAGCGGGATGCGGGCTGCACTCGACACCAGGGCGTGCAGACGGAGGACGGTACGGGCAGTCTGTCCAGAGCCGTGGCCAAGGCGGCGCTGAGCCCGGTGCAGGAGCATGAGACCGGCCGGCGCAGCAGCTCTGGAGAGGTGGGCGCGCCCCCGGTGCCCATCGTTGTAGAGCCTGCGCGTCCTGGGCTCAAAAGCGTGGCGCCCCAACCTCCAGGCACGGACCTCAAGGCACCGAAGGAAGCTGTGACCCAGGCAGCAGTGGCCCCGGAGGCCCAGCAGGGCCGAGCGCGCTGGGTGCTGGAAGTAGTGGAGGAACGCACCACGCTGAGCGGGCCACGCTCCAAACCCACTTCCCCCAAGCTCTCCCCGGACCCCCAGGCCTCCACGCCGGCCCCAACGAAGGTCACCCCCAGCAACACTGCAGGGGCCCCGGCGCCACCCACTTCCCTCCTGGTCCCCAGCACCAAGCCTGATGCAGGCCTCAGCTCCCGGGGCCATGCTGAAGCTGTGCCTACGGCTGGCTTGACCAAAAGGGTATCCAGCTCTGCACCCCCACGCCCATAGCCAAGGAGCCCATTGGTCATCCTGTACAGTCACCTGTATACATTGTACACATATAAATAAAGTGTGACCCTACTGAGCTCTCAGGGCCGGCTTTCGCCCCAACAAGGTGCAACATCTAGCCAGCCTGTGCCCTTGCCCCGGGACTGGGCTGGGAGAGGAGCTGGGGTTCCCAGGGTCCTGAATTTCACCTTTCACCTGCTGCCTCAGCACCCGTAAGAATGACAGGTAGGCAAAGAGTAGTGGCTCTAATCCCAGCACTCTAGGAGGCTGAGGCAAGAGAATCTCAAATTTGACCCCAGAATGGATAACTAAGCCATTTAATGAGGCCCTGTCTTGGGAGGAAAAAAAGCTGGAAAAATATTTCAGTGTGAACACCCTGGGTTCCATTCCCTGCATAAACAAGTAGAACAAACAGTAGAGGGTACAGCCCTGGCCCATGTCCCACACCCACTGGGGAAAGGGCAATTGCTTCATTCATTGATTTGCTTTTTTCCTCAGTGATTCTGAGTGGTATATGACAGATTTCCATCTTGCAGAGAATGGGCTGAGTCCCAGACAGGATAAGGTACATGAGGTCACATGGGGTGGGGGTGACCTGGAATTCAAACTCAAATCTAGGACTGGACACGGCTCAGCACAGAGCACTTGCTTAGCATGTGCAGACCCTGGGTTCCATCCCCAGCACCTTGAAAAGAACAGCAGGAGGCTGAGACAGGAGGATCGTTGCCAGTTCAAGACCAGCCTGGGTCAGAAAGTAGGCTCAGGGCCAGCCTCAGTTGCATAGAGAGACCCTGTCTCAAAAACACCAAAACCAAAACAGGCAACTCATGACCAAGCTGGATCCTTTGTTCGCTGCTCTCCTCACTTGCTGGCCCTGGGACCATCTTTGCAGGGCTCAAAAGCCTTCACCAGAGGCTGGAAGGCCTTCCAGAGGACTGGCAGCTGGGCACACAGCGTGCCCCCACCCCGACGCTCCTCTCCGAGGTTCCTATTCATGTCACCCACACAGGCCCACTGTGCTCTTGGGGCCACGCACCACTTGGAATGGTCATCTGTGGCAGGGAATGTGGGTCCAACTGGCCCCGGGAAGCTGGTCTGATTGACATTCAGAACCTTCCAGGGACCAGAGCAGTTGGATGGCAGGATCCCCGGAGACTTCGGCCAGAACTGAACCTGCAGGTCCGCACCAAGAGCTTCTGCCAACCAGCCAGAGTACAGATCTGCAGGGGAAGGGAAAGTAGACCCAGTTGGGAGCAGGGACCCCCTACAGACTCCCTAAGCTATTTTCCTTCTGTGAGGTTAAAGGTCAGTTCTCACAACTCCCAGAAGGGGCAAAGAGCTCTTCCCAAATCCTATACATGCCTTGCTGCTTTCTCAACCACCCTTCGAGATTGGCACCCCACTTTTCAGATAAGTAAACCAAGGCTAGGGTTAAATCACACATCACACACTCGGAAGTCAGCTTGTGATCCGGCTATGCTGGTTATGCGCCTCTTGTGTGATTCTGGCTTCCAGAGAGACCTGGTCCCCATCCCTGGCTCACCAGAGGACAGCCCTCCCCCACCCCACCCCCACAACAAAAGAGCTTATTGGGGCTGGGGATTTAACTCAGCAGCATAAGCTCCTGCCTTGCAAGCAAGCAGTCATGAGTTCGATCTCTGGTACCGATAAAAAAAAAAAAAAAAAAAGCTTATTGTCGCAGTGCAACGTGGCTCACCATCTCCAAACTGTCCGGCTTTGGCAAAGCTCTGGAAGTCAGTGCCTGCCTGTGACGTGAGGGTCACACTGCTGTTCCAGGGTTCCTGGCGAACATGGTGGCCCTCAACCACATTTACCAGCTCAGGGAACTTCTGACCAAAGATGCCATCCAGCTTGTGGTCATAGACCAAGGGGAAGATGTAGGCCAGCTGCCTGCCTGGGAGACAAGTGGTGGAGAGAGCTCAGACTACAGTACCCCCATTCTCAACCACAAACCCAGGCCTCACCCTGCCCCCAGTCTACGCACCGATCTTCGTGAACTCGGCGAAGGGGAAAGACACACAGATGAGGGTCTGCCCGTAGGTTCGGGCAGTGGACGGCCAGGCGTACGCACCAGAGGATGCAGGTGGTGGGAAGTGCGGCACGCTGTGGACCAGCCAGAAGCCCCCATCTTTGTCCAGGAGCAGGACACCTGAAGCAGAGGAGGGAGGTGGGGGTGCTCAAGACTTTTCCCTCTCTAAAGCTGGTCAGCAAAAAGAACACCCTCAGTTGACAGGGGCCTCCACTGTGGGTACAGACAGGAGACTGTGCAGGATGGTCAGACCCCAGGCAAGTCCCCCTACTCTGTGCAAGTCAAAAGATGTGTGCTGGCGCCAGGGATTTAGCTCATTGGCATAAGTGGCCACCTGGCAAGTGTGAGGAAGATTGAAAGTTGGAGCCCATGTGAGCTTTGGAAGAGATTTTTTGTTTGTTTGTTTTTGGGCTTTTTGAGACTGGGTCTCCCTGTGTACTTCAGGCTGGCCTTAAACTCACTAGCCCATATTGGCCTCTGACTCTTGCCCTGACCCTGCTGCGACTGAAAGTTTGTGCCCCTTCAAACCGCGCCCAGTTTGAGCCTTCCCCCCCTTTTTTTTTCTTCCATCCTTAATTGCTTTTTAATTTTTTGTCTTTTTGAGACAGGGTCTCACTATGCAGTTCAGGCTGGCCTTGAGCTCACTTTGTAGCCCAGGCTAGTCTCCAACTCGCAACGATCCTCCTGCCTCAGCCTCCCAAGTGCTGGGATTACAGGCCTGGGCCACCACACCTGGCTCTGAGCCTCCCTTTTTCAAAAAAAGTGAGGATGTAGCTCAGTGCCCAAGCCCTGAGTTCAAACCCTGGGACCTCAAAGCTCCTTCGGAGCCCCAAATCAAGGCCTCACCCTTCGAGTGTCCGCGGCTGGAGGAGTCTGGAGCCCAGGCCTGGGTGGGCTGGTCATTGTACAGCACAAAGGCAAGCTGGGGGCAATGGAGGGGCATCGTGAAGGTCTCCCCGCGACGGGACGCCCCAACCTCCCTGCCGGGAGCGGCTTGCCCCCCACCTGGCTGGTGTTGGCCCGGTACAGCGGCTGCAGGCTGCGGCCCACGGCACCCTCGGAGCTGTTAATAGACCCCGCGCCATCGCGCCAGCCACTCGAGTTTTCGTCCAGGTAACGATAGCGCAGGCCCCGCCTGACCTCATCCCCGGAGCCGCTGTGCGCCGGCAGCTTGTAGATCACGAACCTGCAGGGTGGGAAGGTACGGGGGGCTTGAGGGGTAGAAGGGCCGGGATCCTCCTCGTGTGGCGTAGCGACCCGGGGGCTCCCGCCCTCGCTTACCAGTCCACAGGCTGCCCTGCGTCCCCGCGACAGCGCAGCGCCCTACAGGGGACCCATAGCAGCGAGCCCAGCAATAGCGCCACTAGGGAGACCATGTGGTCGCGTGGAGGAGCCGCCGTGTGTCAGGTCACGGGAGCCGTCACGAGCTCCAGGCGCGCCGACTTCCTCAAACTAGCTCAGCAGAGCGGACTGGCGCGACCCGCGGGGGGACTCGCCCCCGCAAGGGGCAGTGATTTGCCCGCAGCCTCCAGCCCTGGAGGCGGGGCTTCCTTCCGGCCTGCAGGTCCCGCCCCCAAGAGGCGCTACCTGGACACGCCCCTTAAACCAAGTCTCGCCTCCGATTGGTCCTCTAGAGCCCCGCCCCTTTGTGGCTGACAGACTGGTCCTGTATCAGGCATCAAGCTTGGTTTCTTTCCCTTTCTTGGCTTAGAACCTGAGCCAAACACTGCTATTTTTGCTCTCTTCATGGACACGCAGGGTCCTCCTCATTTTGCAGTCCTGGACCCCCTGAGCTAGCCAACAGGTCCCCCTGCATTGTGGTTGGGCAAAGGGTGATGGGGCCTTGGGGTGGGGCTGAGGTTTTGTTCTGTTTGCGGTGCTGGGGATTGAACCCAGGAGTTCTGCATTGAGTTACATCCTCAGGATTTTATTTATTATTTTTGAGATAGGGTATCACTCTGTTCCCCAGTCTGGCCTCGAATTTGAGATCCATCTGTCTCAGCTCCCAGAGTGCTGGTACCGGCACACTAGGCTTGGGCCTAACCCTCTTAAATGGAGGGAGACTCCTGACTGACCCTGGGTTCGGAGCCAGAGACCTGATGATTTTGTGGAGTTAGGAGTGGCAAGATTTCCTGAAGCGTGGGGTGTGGCTGAGCTGCAGGACATTCATTTGCCCCCGACTTCCGTCCCCGTACCCGCTCTGCTAGCACAGACTTCTTCAACTTGCAGCAGCCAAAACTCAGAGGCTAACGCCCGAGTTTTACGTGGGAACGGCGTTTGGGGGCCCACAACCATTGATGTGAGCCTTTACAGACTCGGTGTCCGGGAACATCTGCCCCTCTCACTCTCCGGGGCGCTGGCCTGAGGGTCCATCCAAGTCCGCTGATCTGGGGTCAGTGTGGCCGTCAGTTCCTGCATGGCTTTCTGTGGCTGAGGACATGTGGCGGGTCCCGATGCAGGTCTCCCTGGTCTGTTTCTGAGTCACTTCTGGATCTCGCAGCAGAGAAGGTCATGAGGGCGGATGTGAGTTCAAGCGAGGGTCGTCTCGTCCTCGGGAATCAGCCATGCACCGATCCCCCCCCCCCGTCCTTGTCCCTGGTAGGATCCAGCCCCAGAGCAGGCTCACAGGTGGCGCTTCATGTGCAGAGCCAGGTGGTCGGAGCGTGAGAAGGCCCGCGGGCAGAGCTTGCAGCGAAAGGGGCGCTGGCCCGTGTGTTTCCGGTAGTGGCGTGTGAGCTCGTCAGAGCGCGCGAACCTCCAGCCGCAGCCATCCCATGAGCAGGCATAGGGCTTCTCCCCTGTGGGGCAAGAGGGCCCTGAGTGCCAGCAAGGGACCCACCGCATCCCTGGGGTCCCTGCATGCCCAGGCCAGGACGAGGGGAAGGCAAGGGGACATCTAAGGGGGCACTGGCCCTCAGGTTCCGGCCGACCCAGGGACCTGGACCCTTCTTCCTTATATCTGCACCTGGGGCACCCTCTCTCCTTTCCTGGCCCAAGCGCGTGCTCTGCGCCCCTTGTTCCTAGACCCTAGCTCCTTCACTTGCTTCCTTCTATCCTCTCACTCCTGCTTTTGGTCCAAGCCCGTTTCCAGCTCCTTCCGTAACCAGCCGCAGTCCAGTCTGTCTCTGGCTTTGGTCTCAGAGACCCCAAATCCTCTCTAGTTTCCGGCCCCCAGCAATTTCTTGGGGACAGGGTCTCGTTTTTACGTTGCCCAGGGTGGACTTGACCTTCAGATCTTCCTGCCTCAGCCCTCAGAGCACCTACCTCCTATGCCCTGCGTCTGCCAAAGAGGCTTCCCTCTCACCCTTTAGAGGAGAATGGGTGTCTAGGCCCGAATATCCGTTACAGATGCGGCCGCACTTGCTGCAGTCTGGCCCCCTCCACGCCCAGCAGCCCAGCACCTGGCCGCGCTCCTTCCCGGCCACGGCTTCTGCGCCCCCCGAATATCCGAGCTGCGCCCCTACCGAGCCCCTCCTTCGGCTCTGCCCGCTAAGTTACTCGGCCCCCTTTCTTTCTGCTCTTCTTTTGGTTCCTGTGGTACTGAAGCGCACCCTCAGTCCCCACCACCTCCTGCGCCGCCACCCTGAGGTCTAAGGATTGGGCTGAGCTTCCAGCGCCCTTCACCGTCGCCCGCCCCACCCGACCGGCCCCACCCCGCCCTGCCCTCACCCGTGTGCGTGCGCAGATGCGCCTTCAGGTGCGAGCTCTTGGTGTAGCTTTTGCCGCATCCCGGGTACGCGCACGTGTGCGCCGCCTGCCTCTTTCGCGCCCACGAGCGCCGGCTACGTTTCTGGGGGGCGCCTTCGGCGATCGCGCCGGGGTCTCCCGCCGAGCCCACAAGCCTGGCTCCCACCGTCCCGGGCCCCAGACAGCCTAGGAAGGAGTGGGGCGCGACAGGGCGGGGAGAAGGCGCCGGGAGCCCGCGGAACACCTGGAAGTGGCCCTGGTACTGGGGCGCCGGGTAGAGCGGGGCGTACCCCGGCAGCAGCCCATAGGGGCCGCCCGGCGCCGCTGGCATCGCCAGCCCGGCTGGCGGGAAGAAGCCTCCTGCGGAGCCCGCCGCCGGCCCCGGGTACACGGGCTGCAGGGCCAGCGCCTTGGGCTCCGGGCCGGGACCTGGGGCCACGAAGGGGTCCGGGGCTCGCACCCAGCCCGAGGGCTCCTCGGGCCCCGCGAACCCAGGCACCAGACCCGCGCCGCCCGCGTAGGCGCCCAGAGTCTCGGGGGGCGGAGCGTACTGCGCTGCGGTGGTTTCGCCGGGGCTTGGGGCGCAGGTCCGGGGCGCGCCGCCCGGGTCCGGGCTCGGGAAGCTGCTGAGGAAGAGGTCCAGGTCCCAGGTTGCGTCCGCGTCCCTGTCGTCGTCTTCATCCTCCCCGGGCGCGGCCTCCGACTCCGGGCTCACGTGAAGGGGCGGCCCTGTGAAGTCTGGGGGCCCTGGGCCCAGGTCCTGCGCCTCCTCCAGGCGCCACCACTGCGGGAAGGAGCGCAGGCCTGAGGCGTCCGCAGGCCCGGGGTGAGGGGATCCTGGACCCCGAGGGACCCTGGCCAGCGGCTTCCAGAGGAACCTGGTTGGCCCGTCCCCCCACACTGCCCCCTCCGCCGCCCGCAGCTCGAGACCAAGGTCGATCCGGTCTGGCTGGAGACAGGAGATAAGACTTCATTATCTGGGCCACATTCGGGATGGGGGCAGGGATGGCGGGAGGGAGGACTCCAGCCTTGACTCAGTTTCCCCCAGACCTTCCCTGTTTCCCATCTCCCGAGGGAATCTTTTCCTGAACCCCGGATTTCTCCCAAGCACCTTTGCCATCTCAGATCTGGGACAGCGTCCACCTGAGCCTACACCGTGAGCATTTAGCAGAACTCGGGTTCTCGTTACAGAAATCGGCCACACCGGGAATCTGGAGCCCCTTGGCTGCTGCCCCCAGACCACAAGCAGGCCCCTCACGTGGACGGATGGGGCACCCCAAGGCTAGATGTAGGCTCAGCTCCCCAGCTTGACAGCCAAACCCTGGCCCGCCTGTCCCCACCTGACCGCACCTTAAGAAAGTCCTCCTGGGTGTCAGGGCAGGGCCCCAGCGTGGTCAGCGTGCTGATGGAGGGCAGGGCAGGCTCCGCAGTGGCCATGGCCGACAGGTGCCCACCGACCTCAGGCCTCTGCTCCTGTGGCTGCCTCGTGGGCTCTGAGGCTCAGCGGGCCCCTGAGGGCTCTTCTCTGCCTCAGCTGATTGGCTGCGGCCCCTGATAAGGCCCTGGCGAGGTGGGGGTCACTGCTTCAGGGAGCGACCTCAGCCTGCCTTGAGCGGGGCCTTCAAGACAGACCCCATCTCCAAGGCCAAGTCGAGGTGTCAGGGTTGGCAGACCCTGGGGCGGGGGGTCCAGGAGCCCGGTAGCAGAGGTGAAGTCCTGGAGGAAGCACGGGTTTGGGGGCCCACCCTCAGTTTACCTTCCTGGAGAACGGGCAAGATGCAGAAGGAGCATTCCGGGCAGGAGCTGGGAAACCCCCTGTCCCCTTGGCAAACCAGTTCTCGTCTACCCCTCCCCAAAAAATGGCAACAGCGTCTCGGATGGCGGGACTTGGCACGCGTTCCGCAGGGAGCTTTATCAGCTGGGCCAGACTTCAGAGACCACTATCAGGTAGGGGCCCCAGAGCAGCCAAAGCTGTCCCCTGGTGAGTGGGAGGTGGGGGTTGGGCCTGCACAGTTCTGTGGCTTTAAACTGCCTGGTTGTGAACCCCCAGGTTCTGAGCCCCTTAGTAGGATGGAGGCCCTGCCACTGGCCTGGCCCAGTGCTGCCAGCCTCAGAGCTTGCAGGGCATCGTGTGGGGGATGAGGCTGGAGATGTTGCAGCTGCCTCGGGTGACAGGGCAGGGTGACTCCAGCCAGCCAAGACAGCAGGAGACCTGCATCCTGGGCCCAGCTGCTGCTGGATTTGGGCCCCATGGGGGCAAGGCCTTGAGCTGCCAGAGACGCCTCCACTCTGGTGACCTGAGAGCCCGGGCAGGGGGCGCCGACACCTGGCAGACACTTGGCTCATGGCCACATGCAGTTGTGTGGCCCAGGTCGCTGGTCCCTCAGCCGCACCTGCAACACGATGCAGGCATCGTCCCTTGGTACTCACGGGACCCGTGGACTCTAAAACCTGCAGGGCCCGGTGCTAAACGGCACAGTATTGGTGCAGAAGCCATGACCATCCCCCTGCAGCCTTTAATCCACCCAGTAGTCATGTACTTGTGCAGGCACAGTGCTGGGGACGGCAGGCTCACACCAGCTGCAGCCTCAGCCCCTTTTATTTGTGTAGTGAGAAAGGATCTCATCGCGTTGCCCGGGTGCTTCCAGAACTTTCCATCTGCCTGCCTCCGCCTGCCTAGTCAGGAATTGGTACACACCCAGCTCTCCAGAGTGGTTCGTAGTTGTTATACTGCACTGCGTCCTGCGGGGCCACCAGGCCAGGCGCACAAAAATCCCGAACGTGCGCTCCCCTAACTAGTATGTTGCTGTTTGAGACCGCGGCTCGGCCTGTAGCTCAGGGTGGCCCTGAACGGCCTATGTAACCCAGGCTGGCCTCGAGTCACGGCGACCCTCTTCCCTCGGCCTCCAGAGTCCTGGGCTGGCAGACGGCCCCGCGCTCATCCGGGCGGGCGCAGAACTGTGCACCGAAGAGCAGCCCTGCCAGGCAGCGTGAGCAAAGTCACCAGGGCCCCACTGCCTGCCGCTGGCGCGGTGCGTGATAAGGCGCGCGCCCGCGCGGATGCCGCTGCCCACCCCTAGAGGGCGCAGCCCTCAGGTTCCGCAATCCGGTTTCCAGATGGCCTGGTGATCCCGGGCACCAAGCTGTGTCCAGACGTGGGGACACCGCCCCCACTCCGTGTCACAAAAATGTGTGCCTTGGGGAAACGAAGGCATGGACAAAAAGCAGGGGCGAGCCAGCTTGATGCAGCCAGTAAGATAGCTACGATTTTTTAAATGGAAAAAAAATATTTTGGGGAGGATCTGAACCCAGGACTTTTGCACAGCCCTTTCCCCACCCGCTACCACTTTTTAAAAAATTTGAGCAGAGTCTTGCTAAATTTCCCAGGCTGACCTCAAACTTGCAATCCTCTTGCCTCAGCCTTCCATGGTGCTAGGATTTCAGGCCTGTGCCAACACACCTGGCTCGAAATAATTTAAAAAATAGAAATGGAAAATAAGTATTGGGGAGAATGTGGAGAAATTGGAAGGCTCATACACTGCTGGTGGGGATTTAAGCTGATGTAGCCAGTACAGAAAGCAGTTTATTAGTTCCTTTAAAAGTTAAAAATGACACCACCAGTCTACTACTAGCTGTGTACTCCCAAAATTAATGTGTTCAAACAAATAAAATAACACCTTGGTTTGCTGGCATAATTCATTCAGGAAACATGCTTGTAATCCACAGCACTTAAGTCTATCAAGGCAGATTTCCCCATAAGAAACAATCAAAACCTGCCAGGTGTGGTGGTGCATGCCTAAAATCCCAGCACTTGGGAGGCTGAGACAGGAGGATCTCTGTGAATTGGGGGCCAGCTTGCACTACACGGTGAGTTCAAGTACAGCCTGAACTACACAGCAAGACTCTGCCTCAAAAAAAAAATACACTCAAGTGATTGGTTCCATAGGCCAAAATATTCATATAAAATTATTATAATACTTCAATAAAATACAAAAATTTAAAAAATACAAAACATAAAGAAAATAACCTGTACTTGCCTTTTTTTATTTTAAAGAGAATAAAACAATAAAACAGACCCAAACAGAACAATACTGGATTTCAAAAACAAGACAGAAGGGTCAGGGGTTTAGCTTAGAGCCATAAGCACCTTCCTGGCAAGCGTGAGGTTGTGAGTTTGATCCCCAGTACTCAAAACACACACACACACACAAGACAGAAATTCCCATAGCTGCTATATTGTATATGGTTAACCTCTAAACACACGCTCAGACTACTGGCCTAATTCCTGCAAAGTCAATCAAACAATACAAGCCGTGAGCTGTTTCTATACCTCAGTAGCTATCATCTGAGCCTGTGTTTCTCCTATTCAGCTGGCTGCTTATGGGGTGGAGCTGGGGATCAGCTCTTCTTGTCTCCTAGCTCACGTGCGGGGTGGTCACCGGAGGGGTTGGCTTGTTGGGCCTCCTCCCAGCCCACAGCTCTGCACTTACCTTTAAGAAGCCTTCACGGCTTGTGTGAGACAGACAGGAGGGTCACTGTGTAAGGCGACTGTCACCATCACTCACGGAATCACTGCTGTTTTTTTTGGCACTGGCTCTTGAACTCAGGACCTTGTGCTTGCAAGGCAGGTGCTGCCCTGCTGTTTACCGACTCAATGGACTCTTTCTTTTCATGCAGTGTTAACAGGGAACCTATCCAATGACAATTCCTTTTGCCTCCTTTTGAGGGTTTCACAAAAGTGTTCTATTGCGTTGTCATTAAACAGATTCATCACTTGCACTGCTACAACTTAACTCTCGCTGTTGGGAAACAATCACCCACAATCCCACAGTGAAACAGAGGGAGAAAACTACAGTCAGTTTAGCTGTGACCATGTGATGGTCAGCGTCAAGTCCTACTCCTATTGCAGGACATTGCTTGTTTATCAAGTTGGAATTTATTAGAAGCCAGGCAAAGTCAGGTGTGCATGCCTGTAATCCTAGCACTCAGGAGGCTGAAGCAGGAGGATTACTGTGAGTTCGAGGCCAGTCTGAGCTACAAAGAGAGTTCAAGGCCAGCCTGGACTGCATAATGAGACCCTTTCTCAAAAAGCCAGAAAAGAAATTTTTTAAGAAATGTTTGGTTCGGGCCTGGGGGTTTGGCTCAGTGGTGCAGTGTCTGTTTGATAATTGCAAGGTCTGAGTTCAATACCCAGTACTCACACACACAAAAAAGAAATGTTTGGTTCTCTTGTAGAACAAGTTACTCCCAACCCAAGGTTTTACTGTGCTTGTGTACCAATATGTACTTGTTCACAATTTCCAGGAGGTTCACCAATGAACAAATGAAGAAATAAAATGTGACCCAGGGGCTGGGGATTTAGCTCAGTGGCATAAGCGCCTGCCTTGCAAGCAGGCAGTCATGAGTTCGATCCCCGGTACCGATAAAAAAGGAAAAAGACAAAAAAAAGTGACCACCCACATAATGGAATAGTATTCAGCCATGACAAGGAACAAAGTGGGGCTGGGGGTGTGGCTCAGTGGTACAGCACTTGCCTGGCATGCCCAAGGCCATCGCCACATCTCCAGTCTCTGTTTCTCTCTCTCTCTGTTTCTCTCTCTCTCTCTCTCTCTCTCTCTCTCTCACACACACACACACACACACACACACACACACACTGATACCCACGGCAACATGAATGAACTTCGAAAACATCCTCATCAAATAAAGAAGCCAGTCACAAAAGATCACATATTGTGTGCTTTGGAGAAAGAAAGATTTGGAAGGAGAGAGGCCACTAGCTTCGGGAGGAAAGAGGTGACCAGAAGCAAGGCAGAATCCTAGATGTTTCCAGTGGTGATGGACACCTGGCTGTTTGAAGACATGTGAACACTTTTTATGTTCTCCTCTAGTCCTGGGGGTTGAAGCTAGAAGGACTCTACCATAGAGCTACATCCCCATCCACCCCTCACACCCATTTTTGAGACCAAGAGTCTTGCTGTGCAGTCCAGGCTGGCCCTGAACTCACTTTGTAGCCCACGCCAGACTCCAACTTGCCACCATCATCCTGCCTCAGCCTCCGGAGTGCTGGGATTACAGTCAGGTGGCACTCAGCCTAAGCTTAGACTTTTGATCCTCCTGCCTAACCCTCTCACTCTGCTGGATGACAGGTGTGTGCCACCACACCCAGCAACCTCCTGCTTCCTAAAGTTTCTTTTCCCTCATTGGTAACGGGTGGGTCATGGCAGATGTATGACTTTCAGATGCAGAAATGATCAGAACACTAAATCTCAGATGCAGGCATCTGAGATGGCAGATGTGTGACTTTCAGATGCAGAAATGACCAGAACACTAAATCTCAGATGCAAGCACACACCATGCAAACACTGGATGGCACAGCTCCTCACTAAGGCACGCACAGAGATCCTGCCTGGGCACACAGCCACACACACACACACAACTACATACAGACAGATCATATAGGTGCAAACAGAAACAATCAGACTTCTGCACAAACACCAAACCATAACATCACAAAGGGCTAGAGGTGTAACAACAGCAGAGTATGTACTTAGCGTGCACACACATGAAACTCCAAAAAGAATACCCACAGCTAATGAGAAAGCCACCAGAACACAGTTACATACAATACCATACAAACACATAGTTACACAGAATACCACTGTACCACCTGCAATCACACAGACCAAAAAATCATGGGCAGCAGGGGCAGTACACATCACATGGTCACAGTCTGTAATCCCAGGATCACCACAAGGTCAGGGCCAGTCTCGGCTACAAAGTGAGTTCAAGATGATCTGAACTACATGGTCATGCCCTGTCCCAAAAACCTAAAAAACGGGGGGGGGGGCAGGGAGAGGGGAGAAAGAAACTGCCACATTTGCAAGCAGAGTCCTGAGTTTACACAGGCACACACGAGCTACAGTCAAGAGAGACAGAAACAGAACACACACGTGCCTGCAACCACACACACACAATCGTATACGTGTGCTGGCTCTCGCAGGCAATGTTACAGGACCACAGACGCACTTACATCGCCACATACACGCCCAGACACAGAATCAGAACCACAGGACACAACCAGAGTCCTAGAACATGAAACACCCAGTCCCACGGAACAGCACACCACTATGCAGAAATCACACGCAAACACACAGCGCCAGCATTATATAACATTCCAGAGAGACAGAATCCCACATAAACGACCACGTAAGGGAAAATCCATGAAACACAAGATGCACAGCCATCCACCATCCGAGGCTCAGGAATCATAGGCACAGGGTCACCTACAGATCTACAGTTATTCGGGCACAAACACGACCCAGGCACAATCACATACACAGTCACACGTTCTACACGCGCTTCCGGGAAAAGTGGCAGACAGGGTGAGCTGCGATCGCCCACTCAGAGCCCACCTTCTCGCCCACCAGGACTCAAGCACAGGAGAGCACAAAGTTTGGCGGTTCTCCTTCTTGGGCTCTGACCCTTTTAACTTCTGGACCGCTACCCACACACCCTCTGCAACTATCTAACCAAGAGCCGGACAAGCCCCTTTTAGGGCCAATCAGGGCAGAGATATATCTAGCCAATCGGATTAAGGCATTCGCTTGCCGCCCCTTTTCGGTTCAGCTTCTTAAAGGGGCTAACGTACTTCCGCCTCGGCGCACACGCCTGCATCGGCCTAGCTGCCATAGTCCTTTTAAATACCAATCACCAGGCGCCGGGATTCGAAAGGAACCAATGAGAAGCACCGTTCTCTCCCCGCTCCGCCCGCCCGTGGCTGAGGCCACCGCCTTCTTTCTTGCACAGTGGACTTTGAGCTGCGTACGGCGCCGGGCGGAGGCGCTTGGCCCCGACGCCGTCCTGTTCCGCCAGGTCACCGTGGTCGCGTCGCCCACAGCCTCTCTGCCCGCATGGCCCTGAGAAACGTCGCCGCGCGGTTGCTGAGCCGCGGGCCCCATCTGCGCGTCCGGCGCGCATGGGGCTCGGCAGCGGCGCCCACGGGTCAGCGCGAGGGCGGGGAGAGGCGCGGGGCTCGGAGGCTCGGGGCGGCCTTTCCGGGCTGCGGGGCGGACCACGGTGGGCGCACCCCAGGTCGCGCCGCGCCGGGTCGCAGGGCAGAGGGGCGAGACTGCAGAGGGGCCGCCCTCGCCGCGTGAGCCCCGGTCGGGGCGCCGATCTGGGCGGTAGTGACCTCGTCCCGCTCCCGGCCAGCCCCGCGTCCCGAGTTCGACTGGCGTGACCCGCTGGGCCTGGAGGAGCAGCTAACGGCGGACGAGGTCCTCATCAGGGACACCTTCCGCGGCTACTGCCAGGAGCGGCTCATGCCACGCGTCCTGATGGCTAACCGCAACGCAGGTGCGGCCGCGGGTCGCGGGCGGGCTGGGACCCAGGCCGGCCGGACCTAGCCCCAGCCGCTCCCCCCCCCCCCGCAGTGTTTCACCGGGAGATGGTCGCGGAGATGGGCGAGCTGGGCGTTCTGGGCCCCACGATCAAAGGTAGGGCCGCACGCTGCGCCCGGAGGAGCCCCCCCCCCCGCCCGTCCTGCCCCGCCCCGCCCTGAGCAGGGTCCAGTCTGTGGAGGGGGTCAGCGGCTGCAGGCGCATGGGGCTGCCGGCCTGCTCTCTGGTGCCCCGGCTGGCTCCCTCCCGTGCCCTCTGGGCCCGCAGGGTACGGCTGTGCCGGGGTCTCCTCCGTGGCCTACGGGCTCTTGGCCCGGGAGCTGGAGCGGGTGGACAGTGGCTACCGTTCCTTGATGAGTGTACAATCCTCCCTGGTCATGTACCCAATCTACGCCTATGGCAGCGAGGAGCAGCGGCAGAAATACTTACCCCGGCTGGGTGAGTGGCTGTGGGCCGTGCTTTGTTTTTCTGAGACCCGCTTGCCCTGTCTCTGTGCTGTTCGGGCTGGCCGTGGCCTCACAGCTATCACCCCTGCAGCTGGGGTCAGAGGCTGCACAGCTGTCCTTCGGCCAGGCCACTCCCAGGGGGCCCTGACCTGGGTACCATGTATTGTTCCTCCAGCCAAGGGGGAGCTTCTGGGCTGCTTTGGGCTCACAGAGCCCAACCACGGGAGTGACCCCAGCGGCATGGAGACCAGGGCCTGCCACAACCCAGCAGGCAAGAGCTACACCCTCAATGGAACCAAGAGCTGGTAAGGAGCTGGTGGCCGGCGGGCGGGCAGTGGGTGGGCAGGCAGCAGCCAGCAATGCCCTCACCGACTGCCCACCCCCAGGATCAGTAACTCGCCGGTGGCCGACCTGTTTCTAGTGTGGGCACGGTGTGAGGATGCCCGAGTTCGGGGCTTCCTGCTGGAGAAGGGGATGCCGGGCCTCTCAGCCCCTAAGATAGAGGGCAAATTCTCCCTGCGGACCTCAGCCACGGGCATGATCGTCATGGACAGCGTGGAGGTGCCAGAGGAGAACGTGCTGCCCAATGCGGTCGGCCTGTCGGTCAGTGTCTGCTGGGATCCTGAGTCACGGCTCCCAGGGTTCCCCAGCATGTGTTCATGGGCATCTTTCTGCCCAGATCTGAGAACTAAATGCAGACACCGGGTGGGTAGCACTGTGTGCAAGTCCAGGGCAAGTAGGCAGGCCAAGAATCCTGGCCACCGAACAGGTAAAATTCTAGAGACTGTGCCTCAGTGCCCTAGAGTGCAGCTCGGTGGTAGAACATCCCTGAGTTTGATCCCCAGTACCACAAAAATAGACAGAAGCCAGCAGGGAGAGAGGGCGTGCCTGAGCCCTGGCACCAGGGCCTGGGATGAGTCACAGAGCTGGCCACCTGGCCGGAGGCTTCCCCACATCTGAACTGGGTCTGTCCATGTGCAGCCTCCCCGGAGGCTGAGGTAGGGGGATGGCAAGTTGGAGGCCAGCCTGGGAGTCAGTGAGACCTTGCCTCAGAACCGAGAGAGGAAAGAATGGAATAAAACAGAAATGAGTAGAAATCAGAACAAACAGACCTGGAGGTTCTCAGCGGCAGAGCATTTGTGCGTAGCTATAGGTCCCACATCTGGCACCACAGTAAAACCCGGGTGGGTTGGTTCTGTGTGGGCTGCTCATGGCTCCAAAGAGGGACTGAGCCCCTCAACCCTGCAGAGCGCCTTTGGCTGCCTCAACAACGCCCGCTATGGCATCACGTGGGGCGTGCTGGGAGCTGCCGAGTTCTGCCTGCACACGGCCCGGCAATATACCCTGGACAGGTGAGTGGGGCCACTGCCCCCGGGTCCCAGCCCCTGCCCTGGGAGGTGGCTGGCGAATCCGTCCCAGGAGGGCCAGGGCAGCTCTGAAGGCTTCCTGGGCAGTGGGGTGGGGGCTGGGCTGGGTTCCTTTTTTTCCTTCCCTCCCCTCCCTGCAGCCTTCTCCCCACCCCCCACCAGGGTCCAGTTTGGCGCCCCCTTGGCCAGGAACCAGCTAATCCAGAAGAAGCTGGCAGACATGCTGACTGAGATCACGCTGGGGCTCCAGGCCTGCCTGCGGCTGGGCCGCCTCAAGGACCAGGACAGGTCAGGGCACAGTGGGGCTGGGCGCTTGTCTGGACCTGACCTCGGGCCCACTGAGGGGCTGGGAGGCACTGAGGATCAGCCCAGCCAGGTTTGCTCAGGGTGTGTGCCCCACTCCCAGGGCCACCCCTGAGATGATCTCCCTGCTCAAGAGGAACAACTGCGGGAAAGCCCTGGACATTGCGCGCCAGGCCCGGGATATGCTGGGCGGCAACGGCATCCTGGATGAGTACCACGTGATCCGGCACGTCATGAACCTGGAGACTGTGAACACATACGAAGGTGGGCACAGAGAGGCCGCAACCCCAGGCTGCTTGCCAAGCACTGCCCAGAGGGGGACAGGACTCCCGTCAGGCTGGTGGACACCCGGCAGAGAGTGGTGCGGGGCAACCCCATCCATTTACCAATGAAAGGGATGGTGGGTGTGCAGTGCTTCCTACTAGGGCCTGGACCCCTGGCTTAGTGGGCAGACATAGACAGACAGACAGGCACGGAAGATAATCAAAATGCTGGGCTTAGTGGCACACACCTGCACCCCAGCACTGGGGGGCTGAGGCAGGAGCATCTCTGTGAGTTTGAGGTCAGCCTAGGCTACTTAGCGAAACCCTGTCTCGAACAGACAAGAAGTACAGCCAGCAGGGGACACCTGTGATCTCAGCCCTGTGGTTGGCTGAGGCAGGAGGATTGCAGGGTCAGCCTGGCCTGGACGGTTTAGTGAGGTCCTGTCTCAAAATACAAGTTATAGAGAGCCTGAGGGTGTGGCTCTGTTCAGAGACCACGGTTCTGGGCCTGGGCTGGACCTCGCCAGACCCACATTTTTGTCAGGCGTTGCACAGGACATGCAGCAGCACCGAGGGGCAGGGGCCCAAAAGTGGCAGTGATCCCAAAGACAGGCCCGAGGTCTCCTGCAGTGGAGGGGCGGGTGGGGTAATCACCTGACTGAAGAGGCCTCCCGGCAGCAGGGGAAGCACAGGACAGGTGAGGGGAGGTAGGGACCCCCAGTGGGGACCCGGCTGTCACCGCTAGGGAAGGAAACAAGCCAAGCTGCAGATCAGGTGTTTAATCAGCTTGCAGGCCAAGGCCGGGCCACGTGGGGCCTGTGCCTGCTGTATGGGGTGTGGGGCTTGGGGTCTAGTTGCTCTTGCGCTTGCGTCTGGAACCATAGGGCACAGTCTAGGGGGGCCTACAGGTGGCTCTGAACCTTGGAGGGAAGCTGTGGCCAGGAGGTGACTCCTGGCGTCGGTCAGCATTCCACGTCTTTATAGGTTGGCTCTTCCAGAGTGGTGGCCTGGGAGACATGGAGATGGGTGTCAGTAGCAAGCTGTGGGCTGTGAAAGGTCCAGGCTGACCTGTGTTGTCCTGTCCAGGTACGGCTGACATCCATGCGCTGATCCTTGGACGGGCAATCACAGGAATCCAGGCATTTGCATCGGGCAAGTGAACCGGCTTATGCCAGAGCTGCCTACAGGGGGACGCCCTGCTGGACCCTGGCCCCGCGTGGTCCAGGCTGAGCAGAGGTGGTGGATGACCTGACTTCCAAGGTGGAAGTGAGGGGCGTCGACCAGTGAACACCAGCAGCTCTCTTGGGAGGGCGTTCAGAGGCTCCTTGGAAAAAGGGTGAGGGGACTCCCTACCAAGGCTTCCCGTCCACTTTTAGCTCTCTTGCTGCAGGGAGAGCGGGTGACCTGGTCATAGCTCACCATGTCCTTAACTATCTGTGCAGGGCGGCATGCAGGAGAGGGAAAAATAAAGCGCTTGCGGGTCTGACTGGCAGTGTGGGACTGCAGTTACGGGAACCTGGAAAAAGGGGCCTCGGGTTCTTCTCGGGGGAAAACGGGTGAGCCTGGCCTAGCCCCTGGAGTCAGGTGGGGGCTTCTCACTGGCATATTCTGGCTCCGGTCTGAACCTCAGGCTGGGTCCCTCCTAGGTCCTGCGGGGCAGCCCAGCCTGCTGGGCTCAGGCCGGGGCCACGCTGTCTGTTGTCACAGCAGACTGCCTCCATGGGAAGTGACCGGTCTGCTCCGGTGTACCACCTGGTGGGGCATCAGGGCCCCTTGGGTGAGGAGTTGCCTCGGAACTGGGTGGGCAGTGAGCTCGAACAGCCCTGCTTCCTGCCCCAGCTCACTGACAGCCGAGCCGTCACAAGGCCTCCCTGAGCGATGTCCCTACCTCAGGGGGCACACACAGGTCCCTGTACACGGTCTCCACGGTGCGGCACGCTTGCTTGAGCTCTGTCTCCAGGTGGCTGATCTGCGTCATCTTGAGGGTGAACTCCTGCAGCCGGTCCTGAATGACCTTGCTGTGCTGGCTGTAGGCCTGGTACATCCTGTCTTCTAACTTTTCCGTCAGGTCCGAGACCTGCAGAGAGTAATTGGCGGCCATTTGGGTGTCACCAACTGCACCTAGTGGAGCTGAGACGGCAACAGTTCCTCCTGTGGAAGTGGTGATTGCAGGCAGAAGTGCCTGTGAGCTCATGAAGTATTTTTCCTTAGATTAGAACCAATATGCAAATACATACCTTTGGCTCTTGTTATCTGCAGTTTCCACATGCAGATAAAAAAGTTCTGACCCAGGGCTCTGCTGACTATAGTCTCTATTCTCACTTATTTTTTGAGATAGGATCTCTGTGGTTGAGGCTGGCCTTAAATTTTCAGCCTCCAGGCCAGGGATTTAACTCAGTGGTGTACGTGCCTGTCTGTTAAGTTCGAGATGGTGAGTTTGATCCCCCATACCAAAAAAATAAAGTTAATGGGCAGGTGTGATGGCTGTCATCCCAGCACTCAGGAGGCTGAGGCAGGAGGATTGTTGCAAGTTTGAGACCAGCCTGGGCTACAAAGTGAGCCCAAGGCCAGCCTGAACTGCATAGTGAGACCCTGTCTCAAAAAAACACTCAGTGACCCTCCTGCCTCAGGCTCCCGAGTGAGTGCTTAGGATTACACCCAGCTCTTTTTAAATTTTATTTTTCTTGCTGACTACATTCTCAAGAGACACCAAGCACAGCTATTAATTCTAGAGTTGCCCATAACTAATAACAGTCTTGTTAGACAGAAACCCTAGGTGTGCTGAAGGGCCAACTCCTGTCACGGAGTTGGCCATCTCCAGAGCACACATGGCCATCAAAAGGCAGCATGGTCACCCCGCTGCCCTGGAGGAAGTAAGCAGCTGGGTTCTGCAGATGGACTTCGGTTCCTCGGCCTGGATCCCACACATAGTGCACCCTTTTCTCTTTTTAAAAACTGACTTAAATCGAGCTGGGGATTTAGCTCAGCGGCATAAGCACCTGCCTTGCAAGCAGGTGGTCGTGAGTTTGATCCCTGGTACCGTTAAAAAAAAAAACTAACTTAAATCAATATGTTTTAGTGCTGAGGGTAGAACCAGGGCCTCCTGCTTGCTAGAGAAGCTCTCTTCCACTGAGTTGCAGCCCGGCCCAGCTGGTTTATTTCTGAAGCTTCACTGGTATATTTGTTGTTCAGTTGAGATGGGGTCCTACTAGGTAGCGCAGGCTGGCCCCAGCTCCTGCTCATCTGTCTGCCTCAGGCTCCTGAGCCCTGGGATTCTAAGATCCTCCGCTTTAGCCTTCCGAGTGCTGGGACTCAAGGTGTGTGCCACCATGCCCAGCTGAACCTCAGTTTGCCCATCTGTGAAATGAGTCCAGTTTCCCTAGCGCTGAAGAGTGAAATGAGATGCTGTATGCCCTGCCTGGTGCAGTGCCTGGAATAAGATACCCAGCCGCACCCCCTCGCTACCCGGCACTCTGTACCTTCATCTTGAGGCTGTCTCTGAAGTTGGTCATGAGTGCATGGTCCTTCTGTCTGTTCTCATTGATGTTTTCAATCAGGTCCTGGGCTCTCTTCTTCAAAATGTCAATGCTCGAATCCAGAGAAGAAAGGTAGAGTCCTGCTTTCCCCTCCAGTGCTGGCAGCTGGTGGCTGGCACTGGAGGTGGAGGAACAAGGGCTAGGAATCTGACTTCTGAAAGTACAGGAAACACCGGACTCCGAGAGTGGCCACTGCGGGGCAGGGTGTGGCCCAATGGTAGACCAAGCGCCCAGTGCGGGCACCCTGGATCTAGCCCCAGTGCACACACCCCGGGGCTGACTTAACTGACAAAGCTGTAGGACGCCAGCTGTCCTGAAATGCCACAGTCATGCCCTCAGGCATGAGGGTAGCACCCTAACAGTGTGTGTGTCTGGGGGCCGTACTGGGGATCAACCAGGGCCTCTACACTGCACTACATTCCCAGCTGCTTTTTAAGTCTTCTTATTGTGACAGCTTCCCACCAAGATGCCCAGGCTGCATTACTCGTGATTTTCTGTCTCAGCTTCCTATTTCTGCCTCAGCTTCCTAGAGTGCTGAGTGTGTTACCATCGCTTTATAATGGAGAAAACAGACCCAGAGGCACAAACCAAAGATGCTCAAAATTCCAGAACAAAAAGGTCGATTCCACCCCAAGGCCCCCGTGTTTTATGACCCCAACTTGCTTCTTTGAAACAGACATGAATAGGACAAGCTGGGTAGTGGCCAGCGCTTGTATCCCAGCTCCTTAGGATGTTGAGGTAGAGGCTGCAAGTTCTGGGCCAGCCTGACTGCAACAGCAGAAAGGGCTGAGTGTGTGGTGCAGTGATGCAGCGCTTGCTAAGCACGCATGTGCCTCAGTCTGACCCCGGGACCACAGGAGGAAGCAAAAAAAAAAAAAAAAAAGAAAAAAAAAAAAGCACAGGCTGAACACCTGTAACCTAAAAATCTGAAACTCCAAACTCAGAAGATACATTTTTTTTTTTTTTTTTTTTTGTGGGATCGAACTCAAGACTGCCTGCTTGCAAGGCAGGCACTTATGCCGCTGAGCTAAATCCCCAGCCCCAAGCTACCTTTTTTTTTTTTTTGTACTGAGGATTGGACTCTGGCCCTTGCGCTTACCAGGCAGGCACTTGTGCTGCTGAGCTAAACCCTAGGCCCACAGCTACCTTTTTTTTTTAAGGCAGGGTCTCACTAAGTACCTAGGCTGGCCCTCACCTCACAGTCCTCCTGTCTTCCTATCCGAGCCTCCCCAGTGCTGACGTTAAGGCATGGATCAACATGCTTGCCCAAAATTGAAAACTTTTTGAGTGTTGGAGTTTTGGATTTCAGAGCATTTTGTATTTAGGATTTTGGGATTCGGATTTTTGCAACTATTCCAGTATCCAAAACATTTCTGTTCCTAAGCATTTGGGATGACCCTAACCTGTAAAAGTAGCACAGTGCGCGTGTGTGGACACTGTATCATCTCACTAGCGTGAGAAGCTGAAAGAAATGATGCATGTATGTGTGTGTATATATAAAAACGTTCAGACAGTTACACTACTGATTTCTCTGAGGTCACTGAAGAGAGGTTTGTGTTGGTGCTGACTGGACAACTGAACACAGATATCTCGTGCTCTGGGTAAAAGCGCAGTGTGTACCGTTGCTGCCCGGATAAACATCTTGAAATTTTTTTCTGTTTGACATAAAATGGATTTGAAAAAAATAGTGTGGTACAGACACTTTCTTAAATGACCTCGGTGTCAGCTGCTGCATCCTTCCTACACCCAGGGGGTGATGCCACACAGAGACCTAGGCTGGGGTGCCTGACCCCATCACGTGAGGTAGATGCTATCGGGAGCTGGATTTCAGGCTGGGGATGTGGCTCAGAGGTGGAGCACTTGCCTGGCATTTGTGAGGCCCTGTGTTTATGTCTTAGCACCATATGAAAAAGTATATACCAAAGAAAAAAGTATATAGATACAGTTTTTAAAAAAAATATGAAGTTGTATTTGTCCCACACTGTACATGACACTGTAATTACGTAACCCAGTGAAGAAACACTGTGCCAGCCAGGGAAGGAGGGTGGAAAAGCAACAGCTCTCTGAAAAACTAAAATGAGTGAAGCAGGTGAGGGTGTGTAGCTCCTTGATCTGCAGTGAGGGAAACAATGGGATAAAGAGCATTAAAGACTAGGAGTCTGCACACAGTGCTTGGCCAGGGCAGCTTCCATTTTAAACAGAAACTAGGACTCAGCTGTGCACTGTAGTGAAGCCTTTTCGGGAGGTGCTGGGCACGGAGCCCAGGCCTGGCCCATGCTGGCCTCTGAGTGGCACCCAGCTCTACGTGGTCGCCAGTGGACGCCTTCTCCAGGAACCTTTTCCCTGGCTCTCATCCCAGCTGACCTTACTGCTACATGCCAGCTCAGAACAAACAGGCCATGAAACTCCAGGACTGGGAGGACTGGGAGCCTGGGCGGGGAGAGTTCTCCTGGAAGGCAGCTCCAGGCCTCAGGCTGTGGCCACTGTCCTGTCCTGTTTCTTGATGGAAAACACACACACACACACACACACACACACACCCTTTCCTTGCCTCGGGCCTCTGTGCCTGCTTCCTGATGAGCTCCGTGTCCCATCTCCCCCCACCCTCCCTCTGGCACCCGGGCCCACACCGTGTGTGGAATGACTGTCCTGCCCACTCCGCTTCTATCCTGGCTCCACACAAGAATGCAAGTTCATCACCCTCCTAGGCAGACAGCTGTGCCTAATGTGTCAGGACGGGAAAGCACCCCAAAAGAGACAGATGTGCTGTAGCCCAGCCCACCGGCCAGCTGGAAAAACACGCAAAGAAACAACACACGGCTCCCTGAGCATTTCTGCAAACAGATATGTAGCGTGAGACAAAAATCTGCTGAGCGGCTTCTACCTGCACTAGCCCTTCCTCCCAGGGGTGAGCAAGGAGGGGAGGGGGCTAATTCAGCGCTGGCACTGCTGCGTGTGCAGATGTTTGCACCATCTGGATACACATGGAGAACACGGTTGAAGCTTCTGTGAGAACAGCTGTGACCAGTGCAGTGGCACATGCACCACCCCAGCTACTTAGAAGGGTGAGGTGGCTAGATCCCAAGTTTGAGGCCAGCACGGGCCACTTACCAAGACACCCATCCCAAAAGTGAAAAGGAGTGAGGGTGTAGCTCAGTGGCAGAGTGCTTGCCTACCATGTGTCAAGGCCCTGGTGCTCCATCCCTGGTGTGTGTTTGTGTGTGTGTGTGTGTGCGTGCGCGCACGCACACACAGGAACAGCCATGAGGTATGCAATGAGAATGGCATGGGAAGCTAGGAAGACTGGGACAGTAAGGTGGCCTTGAGCCCTCCAGAACCACTCTACCCACTTGCAGTCCATGCCCACTTCTGGGGGGCTGCGGCCCCCTTTCCTATCACTCCCTCCCCTGAGCCCCAGCTTCCCCCTATGACTGAGCACTTTCTATTGTTCCACACTCGGGAGCTTGACTGGAGGATGCTGTGGCCCTGGGGACCCAGTGGATTCCTGGTGCTTAGCCTCTGCTCACTGCCCTTGACACCATCACTCCCCGCCCTTGGGCTCTCCACCAGCCCAGTCCTCCTCTGGCCTGGCCTGTCAGTCTCTAAGGGCCTCCTCAAGCCTGCCTGGCCTGACAGTTCCCCTTGCCAGTGCTGGTGCTCCAGAAGGCTCTGTCCTGGACAACGCGCACAGCACCGGGAGGCTGGGCTCCCATCTGACCCACCCTCGGCCTCCAGTGTCTCCATTCAGGGAGGACCAGGAAGTATGTGTGGAATAAAGGAATGACCCGGGGCCTTCATTACCTCCTGCACCTGGCGACACCGAACTGACCACTACAACCCTCTCACACTCCGGATGACACAGGCTTCTACCTTCAGCAGGGGTCTCCAAACCTATCCCGAACTTTGCCTCTGTATGTCAACAGCCACCTGACTGTGGCTGCCCTCCTTCCCATGAATGACAGAAGAAACAGGCCATCACCTGAGATGTCTCCTCTGTCCCTTTGCATGCTGAGTCATGGTGTCCTCATTTCTACCTCCTTCTCTTCCTCTGGTCTCTCATCCCTTGCAGGTCCACCCTTGACATTCCTCTCCAGAGCCCTGAGGACCTCTGGAACTGTGACCCAATCTCCTCGACCCACAGGACAGCCTCAAGTAAAACCCTAGCAGCCACAGATGGAGTGCAAACCCCTCGGACCAGGACACAAGGCCACCCAGGGACAGGGCCTTAGTGTCTCCTGATGTGCCTGCACCTCCAGCTATCCAGGACCTTTCATGGTTTCCCTAAACCCAACAGGTTTTTCTGTCCCTTTCTACCTTCTTCACGATGAAGCAACATGTGCAGCTCCTGCCATCCCAGCACTTAGGAGGCTGAGGCAGGAGGATCACTGAGAGTTGGAGGCCAGCCTGGGCTACGTGGCAAGGACTTGTCTCAAAAACCAAAATATCTGGAGCTACCCCTCGTGCTTTGCAATGCCCCAGAGGTTTCAGAACTGTCTGTCAAGTATCTAAGTGAATGGACAGGGGAGCTGGTTCTCACAGTCCTGCACCCACAGTCTGCAGAGGCAAACTCCCCTGGAGTTTGAGACTCAGAAGCTGAAAGCAGTGGTATCACCAGGCATTTTGGTTGGTGTCACTGTTCACAACCTGCTTCAGCTGCTAGCAGCTGGGAGACACTCCTCCTAAGGTTCCAGGGATGAAGCTGGAAGGGCTTTTTGTTTTGGTCTTTTGAGACAGGGTCTTGCTATGCAGTTCGGGTTGGCCTTGGACTCACTTTGTAACCCAGACTGGCCTCAAACTCACAGCAATCCTCCTGCCTTAGTCTCCCAGAGAGTTGGGATTACAGATGTGTACCACCACACCCAGCAATGAAGTTTTCATGTCAGCTATACATATGGTGAAAAAAATCAGTTGAATTCACCTATTCCAATTTTGTGGTGGGACAGGCTGATGTCTGGTGGGACAGGTGTCAGATGTCTGGTAAGAGGTTCTTTAATTTTCTGACCTTTGACCTTTCCTTTGTGGATTTGGGCCTTTCGATTTTTTTTTTTTTTTTCCTGTTACTGGGGATTGAACTCACGACCTTGCACTTGCCAAGCAGATGCTATGCCGCTAAGCTATACCTGTGGCCCCAATTTCATTTTTCTTAATACTCAGCAGCTGCATACTAATCAGGATGCTAATGAATTACAGGCTTCCCTTGGCCTGCATTCACCGATTAGCTTTAATAAACGAAATGGGCAATGTTCTCTCCGTTGGCTTCCCCAGCTCCCTGGCTGGCTTCTGGGGTGATGCCAGGGAATGGAAGTGAGCTGGACCCTCCACTCCGAGTGTGTGGCCTGTGTGGGGTGGGGGTCGTGAACACCTCGCCTCACTCATCTATTCTGCCTGTCCTGTCAAGGTGTCCCTGATTCAGCTTTGAAGACTAGGGCCTCGTTCCCTAGCAGGACCCAGGCTGGCAGGGGGCCCGAGGAAACAGGTCTCAGTCAATGAAGAGCCCATCTGTTCGCTCCAGGTAAAGCTGTGATTGGCAGGCGTGTGCGGCAGTGCCACCTGCTGCTGGGCCCTCCCAGAGTGGCCTCAGACAGATACACAAACAACCCGCGCCAACCACTTCTGACCTCCAGTGTCTCGGGCCCAGGAGGGGCAGCTGATTAAACAGGAGGAGGAATCCGACACTGCCAGGAAGGCAGAGTCTGAGCTGAAGCTGGTGAGCCACCTTCTGCCCTCCTCTTTTCACCCCTGAAATGTGTTAACATTTTAATCATGTGGTGGAGAGGCTGTTGCTGAGTTTATTAACCAGGCCCACACAGATTTAACCCAACTGGTTTCTGGCCAACGCGCTTGGAGTGCTCTTTGCAATCTCTACATGATCTGCAGTGTCTGGGTCGCTTGGTCACACAGATTTGGGTCTAAGCGTGCTATCTGCAGCAAATGATTAGGCTTCAGCCATCTCCTCTCTTCCTCTGGCCACCACCTGCCAGCAGTGAACTGGAAAGCACCCCACCAGCTCTGCCCTCAAGGGCTCAGAGAGACAGGGAAGGCTGGCTTAGCAGCTGGAGTCCTCAGGGCCCCGTGCGAGCCACTCCTCATTCTGTCTCTAGCTTGGCACGTCCGCCAGGGATTGTCTCTAAGATCTCCTGGATACCCCAAATTAGATGTAAGCCAGGCGCAATGGTGCGCGACTCTCATCTCACCACTCGGGAGGCTGAGGCATGAAGATCGTTGTAAGTTCGAGGCCAATCTGGGCTACAAAGTGAGCTCAAGACCAGCCTGAACCATATAATGAAACCCTGCCTCAAAAAAGACCAAAAAGAAGGCCAAGGAAAGGCTTGGATGTAGTACAGGGAGAAGGTCCTGGTCTCACCCCCAGCACTGTATGGGAGGCCCTGCGCAGGTGCCTTTAGGGGGAGAAGCCCCGAACCCGTGCTGAGAACCGGCCACTGCGCACGCGCCGCCCCACCGCGGGAGCGGCTCACGGCCTGGCCCCCAGCACTCGGGCCCCCGCACCCCGCCCCCGGCACGGAGGACATCCCGGCCACCCTGGGCCTGGGGGAGGCACCCACCCAGTCCCCTGCCGCGGCCCCGCAGCAGCCGAGGCAGGCGAAGCTCACCTGGCCGGGCCCCCGCCGGCTCCCTGGGCGGCACCTCGGTCCGCGGATCTCTGAGGCTCCAAGCCTTCCGCCGCGGCCGGGGCCGCGGGGTCGCTGGCCTCTGCGCATGGCAGGTCCACCTGTGGGCATCGCGGAGGCGCAAACCCCGCGTCAGTCAATCAGTCAGTCAGTCAGTCAGGGTCCGTCTCTCAGGAAAGCAAAGGCAGGTGGGACGCGAGGGAGCCCGATGGTCGGGGAAGTGGTCAGGTTCAGGTAGGGGGGAAAGTCCAGCAGGGCAGCTGCCCTTGCCCCCGCCCGCCCGCTGCCCGCACAAAGGGAACCAACCCCACGTACTTCGAGTTGCTCCATCTTTTCCCGCCTTGCGGTCGCGCCTTCTGCGCATGTGCAGAGCCTACCCGCTGCACGTGCTGCAACACGTGCTCCGGGCCACGCCCCGCGGAACAAAGGCCAAGGATAGGACCCAGAGGCTGCGCATGCGCAGCCAGCACGGCCCAGGGCTAGGCAGGCACTGCTTGTGCGCCTAGTGACTTATGACCACAGGCGCTGGGCACTGTTTCCGTCTATTCGTTCTGGAGCTCTCAGTCCAGCTGCTCTGTCTGGGTAACTTTTTCCCATCAAAATGCTCATTGCAGCCGGGTGTGATGGCACAGGCCTATCATCCTGCACTCAGGAGGCTAAGGCAGGAGAATTGTGAGTTCCAGGCCAGCTTGAGCTACAAACTGAGCGTAAGGCCAGCCTGAACTGCATGGTGAAGCCATGTCAAAAAAGACCCCCCCCCCAAAAAAAAAATGCTGATTTCAGTCTGTGTTTTGAAGTAAGCCCAGGCTGGCCTTGCACTTGTGATCTTCCTGCCTCAGCCTCTGGACTCCCTCTCAAATTCTGACTCCCGATTTTGACCGAACTTTCCCTCATAAAGGTGCTTGTGCATTCCAAGTGTAGCTCTCTGAAAGCAAAGTGAAACGTATGGTGTGGCATCGTTTAGTAACACTGACTTCGAACATGGGAATGACCAATTCAAAACAAGAACAAGAGGGGGGCGGAGGCCGGCAGTCCCGGCCACTTGGAAGGCTGAGCCAGGAGGATCACTTGAGCTCAGCACTTCCAAGCCAGGCTGCACAACACAAGGAGATTTCACCTTCAGAGGATGAAGGGCATGGGATGTTGCTCAGTGGTACAGTACATGTCTCCTGTGGGCTCCAGCAACAAAAACACACAGAGGTGAAAAGATCTGAATGTGTGCAAAGGCCCTGAGACATTCGTTGGGAGGTGCCCAGCAGCAGAACAGGGACCAGACAAGGCTGGGTTGGGTAAAGTCCAACAGGCCGGGACTGCTCAATACAAAGCTTTTAAGGCTTTGCTTCAGTTGACTGGGAAGAAGGTGGGGCTGTCACACAGTCCTTGTGAGGAGGACAGCAACGATTCCTCACCTTGTCCAACCTCCCCTACCCTCCCCCGCAGAGAGCTTCACTCCGTAGTTCACGATGCTCTAGAAAACTCATTATGTAGTCACTTGTGATCCTCCTACCTCTGCCTCCTGAGTGCTGGGATGACAAGTGTACACCACCACACCTAGAAGAGTCCAGATTTAACCTTTCCTACCATGTACACGTCAAGATGTACTCTAGTTCAAGTGTGGCTGGGGACACAGTCTGACGAATGGCTGGACCAGGTGAGCATGGTGGTACACACCTGTCATCTCAGCACTCAGGAGGCTGAGGCAGGATTACCAGGAATTCAAGCCCAGACGAACTACTTATGACAAGACTGTCTCAGAAAAAACCCAACTAGAACAGCCCTTGCTAGAGGCCTGGCTCTGAAGATCCCTGACCCCTGGACCCAGCACCTGCACTCCCAAGAATCTATCACCCACTGCCTACCCCATCAAGCCACTTGGGGAGCTGGGGGACTCCACAGGAGCCCCAAGGAAAGGCAGCAGATGAGGACTACTGTGTGCTTTATTATGTCGCTTGCTTCCCCCCCGGGACCCGGGTCCTGGCAGAGTGGCCTCACAGAGGCCTCACAAACACGAGGGGCGCACATGACGGCAGGACGGCCAGGGTCAGGCGGCTGCCTGTGTCTTCTGGGGCCTGGGCTCTGTGTCCAGGCGGCACAGGGGGCTGTCGTAGACCATCTGTAGGTTCACCTTGTGGCCCACCAGCTCCCGGATGTTGTTGATGCCGTACTTGATCATGGTCGGGCTGGGGAGGTGGGGATACAGCTTAACCCCTGTTGGGCTCAGGCTCCCCCCCCCACCGACATCTCTCCAGCCCTCCGCCCTCCTTGAAGACATACGGCAGCCCTGCCACCCCGCAGTGACCAGCGCCTCCGTCCTGGCAGCTACCGTCCTCACCATCTTCACCCTCTCTAGTCTCCAAACACCCGTGCCCTTCCAGTCCCCTTCCAGCCCCCAGGGCTTAGCCCTGGCTTGCCCTGGCCTGCAGCGCCCCTCCCCAGGCAGGCTTAGTCACCCTGGTGCCATCTCTTCCAGGAAGCCCCCCTGACCACTGCAGTCCTCTGTCCTTGCTAGTGCTCCCTATGCTCTGCTCATTTCTTGGACCTGTCATGCTCCTGCGGCCCAGGACCCCAACCCAAGGACGCAGTGAGGGCTGGCAAAGTGCACAGCACATGGCAGGTGTGAGTGGCACTTCCTGCTGAAAGCCAATCACTGGGTCTGGGACACATCGCATGAGGGGCAGTAAGCTGGGAGGTGCAGCTTTCTCTGTACCTCCAACCAGTCCTTCCTGTGGCTCCTGTTACTCAAATGAGGGCCTGAGCTCCAGCTCCCATCAGGCCAGAATCAAACTCTCTTTTTAGGTTTTTTGAGACAGTTTTATTGTGTAGTCTAGGTTTAGACGTGAACTTGTGGAGATCCTCCTGCCTCAGCCTTCTGCGTGCTGGGACGACAGGCTTGTACCACCACGCCTGGCATAGGTTCTCATACGAGCTAAAGCTGCTGGCAATGTGAGATGGAGGATGCACCACTTTAGGATGATCTATTGCTAAACCACTGCACCTACTGGTGAAAACTGCTTCCTAGGAAACCGCCCTGGTGCCAGAAAGGCTGGATGCTGACCAGGTGAGTGACTGAGTGAATAAAAGGAGCTGCCAGCCGGTGCCCCCTTTCCACCCCACTCACCGCTCCAGGGAGAGGCCCCAGGCGATGACAGACACATTCTCGGGGAGTCCCATGGGCAGCAGCATCTCGGGGCGGAAGAGCCCGGAGTTCCCGACCTCCACCCACTTCTTCAGGCCTGCAGCAGGGACAGAGGCGGTGCATGGGGCTGACCCTGCATGTGGGGTGCCAGGGTGCGGGGCAGGAGGTGGAGGAGAATGTCCTCTGTGCTCACCCTGGTGGTAGCTGAACACCTCCATGCTGGGCTCCGTGTAGGGGTTATAGGTCGGCTTGAAACGCAGCTGGGTGATTCCTGTGGGACCCAGGAGGTGACCGAGCCGAGCCCTGCCCTCCCCACCGCCGCCACCCACTCCTGGCCCGGCAGGCCACTCACCCAGCTTGCTGAAGAATTCGCGCAGGACACCCATGAGGTGGCCTAGCGTAAGCCCGTGGTCAGCCACCACGCCTTCGATCTGGTGGAACTCGGCCAGGTGCGTGGCGTCCAGCGTCTCGTTGCGGAACACGCGATCGATGGAAAAGTACTTGACTGGCGTGAAGGGCTTCTGGGGGCACAGCAGGTAGGGATGGGCACGCCAGAGGGGTGCAAGCCCCTCCTAGGCGGCCCCGCCCTCCCCGTCCCGCCAGCAGCACCTTCTGTGCCAGCCGGTAGAGGGCGCGTGCGCTGGCCGCTGTGGTGTGTGTGCGCAGCACGTTCTTCCGGGCTTCGTCCAGGCGCCAGCTGTACTTGTACCTTGGAGGGGAAGTGAAGGCTGGGCTGCGTGGCCCGGGCCTCACCGCCTCCCTCCCGGCCCCAAGGCCTGAGCCTGCCTCACCCCTGAGAGCCGTAGCCGCCCTGCGCGTGGGTCCGCTTGACCCGGTGCACATAGTCCGTGGGAAGCTGCAGGGCCTCTGCGGGGTCTGCATGAAGAGGGCAGGACTCGTAGGGTGCTCAGCACCCCTCTTCGGTCGGGATAACCCGCACACCCTTTCCAAGCCAGGCACGGTGCCCATGCCTGGGACCCAGCATGCCAGCGGCTGAGGCAGGAGGACCGCGTCAAGTCCAAAGCTGGCCTGGACTATGCAGTCAGACCCTGTCCCATCCCATCCCGCCAGAAAGAAACTGTCATCCAGGGTGAAATCCTGACAGCAAGTGAATTGTGGCCCCTGGATAGGCACGCTGTGTGGCCCAGGGTGAGGGCACTTCCCGCTCTGTGCCTCGGTTTCCCCGACTATAAAAAGGAGGCATAGTACTACTTCTTGGTTAGTGGAATATTGTGACACTGCTCGGTGTATGAGTGCTTAGGTGCTGAATTTTGGAACTAGTTTTTTGGGCTGGGGATATAGCTTAGCAGCATAATCACCTGCCTGGTAAGTGCAAAGTCTTGAGTTCTGTTAAAACAAAACAAAAAGCTAGTCTTTAAGCCAAAAAAGATTGTTTTTCTGGCGTAGGGAACTGATAGGACCTCACTGTGCAACCCAGGCTGGCCTTGAACTTGCCAAGATCCTCCTGCCTCAGCCTTCTCAGTGCTGGGATGACAGGTGTGTGCTACCATGCCTGACTTTGAATTGTATGAAATAACTACAATTTAATAATTTTGTTAGTTTTGGTTTTGTTTTTTAGTTTTTTTGAGACAGTCTTATTACATAGTTCAGGCTAGCTCTGAACTCTGCCATCGGACCAGCCTGAACTCACTACCTAGCCAAGGCTGGCCTTGAACATGTGGCGATCACTCTGCCTCAGCTTCCCGGGTGCTGGGATTACAGGTGTGTATCAGCACACCCACCTTGATTTGTTATTTTGGAATATACCAGATGATCAGTTAGATTAAAAATATTAAATCACCTAGGAAAAACCAAAATCAGCACTTAGGAAGTCTCAGGTGCATTACACCAACAAGTGTGGGGTGTTATAGCTGTGTTTAGATGTCCCCCAGAACCTAGGGCACTAGGATGAAGGGTGTGAGTGTTACCCGCCCCAAGCAGCCCGGAGAAGATAAAAGGGAGGAGAAGAGCTGTGGTTGTCTCTTCCTTGTTTTGCCATCTTTTTTTTTTTTTTTTGTCTTTTTCGTTTTTATCGGTACCAGGGATCGAACTCACAACTGCCTGCTTGCAAGGCAGGCACTTATGCCGCTGAGCTAAATCCCCAGCCCTATTTTGCCACCTTCTGCCCTCTGTGAGCCACTTTCTACTGCGATGCCCTCTGCCAAGCTCCTGCCTTGAAGCCAGCCTGTTATGGACTGAACCTTTACAAACCGTGAGTCAAATAAACCTCTCCGCCTTGCACTTTAGTGTGGGGTATTTTGTCTCAGCAATGA